TTGGATTTGATTGTTCAAAAAACATTTATCGGGCATTCACATGTATCTTTTCAGACTACTGTAAATACCTGAGAACACTTCTACTTTCACAGCGAGGTTTTATTTCAAAAACTCAAATTTTTAAAATAAACTAATATCGGGATTCATGTAATTAACTTAGACTAATTCCTATGGATAATCATCAATAGGGTCCATGACCCTTAACACTTAGGGAACTACTCACTCATAGTGAGAAAACAAACAATATATTCAATAAAAATATTGACACGCATCATTAGATAAAAAAAATAACAATAGAGGAATAGAACCTGGAAATAAGCTTGTAAATTAAACTATGCTTTGATCTAAATGCTCCAATGGAGGCTTCTACAAGAGGAATGAAAAAATTGCAGAAAATATAAAATTGTACGATATAAAAGATGATGTTCCAATACTGTCAAGGGATATTTATATTTTTTTACATAAAACATCAGAATCAAAGTCATTAAAATCAGAAACCCCAAATCAAAGACAAAATCGGCCGAAAAGGGAAACCAAAATATAGGCTTTCACACTCTTGTTATGGGTCGTAACATGCCTTACCGGTGGCCATAACAAGGCGCAAGTATTTGTACTGGGCATGGTGGAAAGGGGGCCTCCTCGTCTGGGATGCATTATGGGCCGTAATGCATATTACGGACGGCTGCAATGTATCTCTAGTTATTGTACTAGACATATTGGAAAAGGGCCTCTCCGTATGGGATGCATTACGGACCGTAATGCACATTACAGGAAACCGTACTACATCTCTTGTTTTCGTACTAGAAATATCTAGTCTTCACGCTTTTCTTTGAATTTTTTCCGATTTCATCTTTTTTCCTTCCGATATGATCATATACAACTAAAAATGATAAGAACACAATACCAAAGCATAAAATATAGAAAAACAAAAGAAACATAAAAGAATATGATGAAAAAATGACTAAATCATAAGCATAAAACGGTATAAAACACACTTATCAACTACCTCACCATACAAAATGATTGAGGATGCACTTGCATTTCACAAGGAACTGTCAAAAGAAAGTTGAACCAAATACGAAGTATGCTACAAAGATTTTAGAACAAAACGTCCTACCACTTTTCACTTTGACAAAGTACCCAAAAGTATAACTTGTGATGAATCCAAGAAGGTAAGTAATTTGATGATCATTCATTTTAATTGAACTCTCATCTTTTTCCTTTTCATGTTAGTTATTTTTCTCCTCCTCATGTTTCACAGATTCAGGTTGATCAATTCCTTATTCGGCATCATTGAGTATGTCTCTTGAAGATACACCTATATCATGAAATGAAATACTTTTTCCGAGTATTTTCGGATACAACATCAAAAGTAACTTACGCCTCTTTTACAAATTAAACAATATTTGTTGCTTTCTAGATCACATAATCTATGTTCTTGTCACATATACAATAAGATGATAATATGTTCATATGCCTTGAGCCACTATAAATGAGAACCCATATTCTCTTCATAGAGTCAAGACAATTTTCCTACAAAATCAACAAGACAAGATACGTACCCAATCTTCATTGGATCCTTCGGGTTTACTGAAAATTGGTTGCATTTGGGCAAGCCTTTCATACAACCATAGTGACAATTTAAATTTTCACCATCACTAAAATCACTATCGTATACGTGCTCACTTTTTGAAGACCTTTAACTTGTAGCCCTAAGAGATTTAGACTTTGTTCTTTCTTCCTTATCCGTGTTTTTATCCTTTTTCTTCTTCTTCTCAATCTTTTTCTCATGCTTGTCTAAGCAAGTAAGTTCTTGCTTATGTTCTCCAAACTTATCAACAATGTAGTGAGATCAAGTGTTGTAAGATAATTGGCTTCCTTGCTCGCAGTGACCTTTAATTACCAATTCCTAGTAAGACATCTCACAATTGTGTTGGTAGCAATTGCATTGGAAATAAGATTACCAAGTGCATTTAAACGGTTAATGAGATTTAATGTATTTTTCTTAGTATCATTATTACATAGTGCTTTCGACTTAGACGTGACAACGTCATTAGCATTTTTTTAAGTAATAGAATCACACATATATTTGTCATATGAATCAACATGAATGTGCATACAAGCTTTCCAATAACTATAGTTTTATTCCAAAAAAAATTTGGGGTTGTTTTGTAATCCCCTTTAGGTTCGTATGCCATTTTCTAATAAGAGTTTTGAAGCACAAAATTAACCAGAGCTCTGACACCACTTATTAGACTGTGATAACTTATCTAGTAGGGGTTGTGTTGTACCCCAAAATTTTCCTTCCCATTTTTCATTCAAGATGCTACCCTAGGGTTTCTCAAATGCTCAAAATGGCTTAGGGTTTGATCAGACAGATTCTCTTCCTAGGCATTAAGTCAGCAACTAGGGTTTGGTATTACTCAAGAAAAATTCAGTTTTCGAGGTTTCAAGTGATCTTCATGGTTCTTCATGTATTCTCAAGGATGCTCGTGCCAAGTTTCAAGCCTCACATTGCAAGTTTGCTCAGTCAATGGTGCAGATGACTAAAAGTGAACTACATTGACCCAAAAATCGACCTTTACAAGATCAAGTTCAAACGATTGTAACTTCTTCATTATTTGATATTTTTAGCGTTTCTTTTTGCGTATGACGCTCCTTGACATCATCCCCAATTTCTCTTCACAAGTCAAGAGCTGGTTACGTGTCAAAAATCATCAGAAAATTTGAATACTTTAGAGGTCATTTTGTAAACTTGACCTAATCACGAGAAATTCTTGTCCAATTTTTTAGGTTCATAACTTCTTCAATTTTCAATGATCTTAACCTATTCTTTTTGCGGAGAATCACAAATAGCATTATCTATGAGATTGCTTCAACGATCGAAGTCAAAATGCGCTTGGAAGGCCATGAAATTTATTTAAATTCTATAGGAATTTCTTGACTTTAGAATGTTATTAACTTCTAGCTTTTGATCATTATGTTGAGATAATTCATTGAAACAAGAGTTTGAGTTTAAATGTTCATGGATAGTTCATTATTTGTACTTAAAATCGTTTGTGTTTGAACAATAAAGGTTACTGGATTGAAGTGGGATTTTGATCAAAATTCTTAAAGACGAGATTCGTAGTATTGGATCTTATTTCAAGTTACTATGAATTAAAGATATATATTTTAATGAATAAGATTCGAGGATCCATTCAAATAGTTCTTTTGACTTCGGCCCAATTCAAGCCTGTGATGCATAATTCATTCACATGAATTTGTTTCAAAATATTAAAAAGGATCAATATGTTTATGGTGCAATTTTGATATATTTGAAAAAAATTCATTCATGTGAACTATTCTGAATTCAAGGCATTCATCAACTTCTTTCATCTTCATTCAAATTTCCAATCTTTCTTTCAAACCAAGTTCAAGCAACATCCATACTATTCGATTCATTCCTCATTTAATTTCAAATCAATATATATTCACAGTTCAAAAAAAATATAAAGTCAAGATGTTTTATCAAGTTCTTCTACAACAAATATTCATTACAACTTCATGTTTACAAAGGAGTTTTTACTACTACAAATTTTTGTCCATCAAAGTTCCTGAAGCATTATTGACTTGGTCTTCAATCTCTTGTTTCCTAAAATTTTCATCAGGCTAAGCTTCACCATTCGATCACCTTGCCATTTTCCATACTGTCACATGAAACAAACCAAAGACGATGTTAGCAAGCATCGTAAAAAAACTTTTCAAGCAAGAATTAGTGATTAAAGAAGATTTGTATCTCATCATTAGGATTTGCAATTGGAATCAGAAATTGAAAAAGGGTTTTGTTTCAATTATAAGTCATCTCCTCCTAGTTTGCAAATCACAAAAATCATTGGTTCACAAAAAGGGAAAATAAATTCGCAACTATTTCATTGTAAAACAACTCAAAACAGCACGGCAAAAAACGACAGTGCAACAGCTCAAAACTGCAGGGCAAAAGCGTAACAAAAAGCACAGAAATAACACAAATAGCAAGCAACACAACAGCCCAAAGCGGCATATAAAAAGCAACAAAACCAAAGCAACAAGCCAAATAGTCAGCAGCATCAAATGTAACAATGCAAGCTATCAAAACCTAATGTCATCATTTTCCTAATATCGCAAACCCTTTAGAAATTTTAAAAAGCAAAAAAAATGTCATCATTGAAAGATAAAGAGGAAAGAGACGGGTTTAGAAAGATATCACCTAGCCCATACAACAGTCCAAACACCCTTCAAAACAACCCTTGCATATAGATGTCTAAAACATGCTATTAAACAGTCAAAACCAGACAAAAATGGCTCTACTGTCCACTGCATATACTATTCAAAAAATACATCAAAATATCCCAAAACAAATTGCATCAGAAAAGGCCACTAAACAATTAACCAAAGTATTCAAATATCATTTCATTTCCCCCCAAAGCTCATTTTTTTCTCACCTATATGAACCATTCGCAGTAGTATGAAAGGAGTGGATTTTTCTGTTATGCAACATACGAAAATCCCACATAGTAAAAAAAAACAGAAAAGAGACAAGAAAGAATACACAACAATTATAAAAAATTTCCCTTTATCAATTGCAACCTTCACTTCACATCACCTTTTTACTTGACAAACCGATATCAACTTAAGGCAACATATAAGCAATCCAATAGTAGAACTAGAAGAGGATTCAAGAGGGGACAACAGTACATAAGATTCAAAAGAATCATTCACAAAGCTCCAATTTGGTAAGTCTCTCTTTCTGGTTTCATAAGTATACCACTGTTTTGTGTTGCTTTTGTTGGTTGTTGAATTTTCTTTGTCTATGCTGCTGCTTCGCTGTTATTGTCATAACTGTTAAAACAAAAAACAAACAAAAACAGAGAAAATTATTACCCAGAAAAATTACAGCAAAACTCTAAAAATAAACAAATCTAACCAAGATCTTTACTCTATATACATAATCAACACGCCTCTCTCAATCGAAACAACTTTTAAATCCGCCACCCAATCTTCATTTCACATGGAACCCCAACCGTAACATTGCCCTTCATCTCGCTCCTCTTTCTGTTCATAATGCTACTTCCGCTTACACCTGTTCCTCGCGATCCTCCAATCACCCTCTTCTTCACCATTGATTTTAGTTGCAGTAGCTTACCTTCAACATCACACCTACAGAATTCCACAGAAACGTTAATTCAATTCCAACACAACCATTTTTGAATTTTCTTCCAAAACAACAACCATTTAATGCAACGTACAATGCACACACTATAAGATAAAAAAAAGAATAATTGAAGAATTCATACCTTAAATTCGAAGAATTGTCGGAGGAGTTCCAATTTGAGAGAGCGGAAGATTTTATGAGTCATTGTTGTTCAAGAAAACAGAGGATTTTAAACCATGGAGATGAAAGAGACCAAGAGAATCGAGACGGTAAGGTGAAGGTTTCATTGTTGTCATTTAGATTTAGTGAGAGAAGCTGGATTGAGAGAACATCAATTAAGAGAGATGAAGAGCGTCGTTTCACGTTTCCAGACAAAAGAGGCGTTGCCTCTGGTTTTGATTTAGGGGATTGAAAACCCTATTTTTTCATTTTCATTTTTTATTTTTTAGAAAACAAACAATAAAACTCACTCGGGCCCTGCTTTCCTTTTCCTTAAGCCCATTCAGATTACTATACCTGCACCCCATATTTCCAGGTTTTCCAGCTTTATTTTATTTTATTTTATTTTAGTTTATATTTTTTTCTATAGGAGTTTCTTGACTTTATAATGTTATTAGCTTCTATAGGAGTTTATATTTTGAAGGTATAGTAACTAGGCGTGTATGACAAGATTAAAATCAACCGCTAGACAACCCTAATCAAAGACAAATTAACTTGAATCAAACACACTTTTCACACGCGTACCTCTAGGGTAACCTTGCTTGTTGCCTCGAAAAAACATTCATGTCCCTCGAATGTGGGATGCTTTGGCAAAGACCCTTCGATAAAAAAATATCGTAGTCCCTCTATGTTGCTTTCGATAAAACAATCTTAGCCCCTTACAAATATTACTAAAGCGTCTCACAAGTTGCATTCTATGATTGTACGATTGACCTGCGTCTGACCTTCACATCCAATAATGGGGCTTCTTACCAAATCAATGGTAAGATAGCAACATCTAAAGGTGGAGGAAAAGAACAAAGACCTTTGGAATAGGTAAGACACTCGTATTTTCTTGATCACAAACTAAAACCATCTCCACACTTACACTTTCAAAACATCTTCAAAAATCAAACATCTCTTTGAACTATTTTTCAAAACCAACACTTTGTATACATTCTTACAGAGCTGAGAATCATTACAATGTTTTCCGAAACAAAGGCGTTTTCAAAATATTTTCAAACTTGCACCCATCACAAGCACATTTTCAAATAAAGCATTTTTCAAGTGATTTAGTAAGCAGTAAAGAGCCCGTAGATAACTACGGATGAAAAGGGTGCTCACACCTTCCCTTTTCATAACCTACGCCCCAAACTCAAAAAAATATCTCAAAAGGTCTTTCGTATTCTTTTCATCCTTACCTTTATTAGATAAAAGATAATTCAGTGGCGACTCTAGCTATCCGCAATAATTGCGATAAAACGCAAAACACCCAAGTCAGTTCCCCCACCGTATTACAGGGTCAATAGGTCCCCAATTAAAAATTAACTTTCAAAATGGTTACTTACAAACTTATTTGAAAACTAATGTTGAGCAAAACGTTTTTGGCCTAAATCAAAATAGTAGTCTAAACGAACCTAGTTATTGGAAACTCAGATATGCACAAGAAATATGGAATTAAGACAATGTAAAAATCAATCAACATAATAATATCTCAATTAATATTTTAATATCAAACAGAACGGTTTCCTATTTCCAATGAAATCATATTAAAAACATAAATTGACAATTTATCGAACATGTGACACACAATCAATTTTTCATAATTTTCTTTGAGGTTTGTTGATAAGAAAAAGAACTTAAAATCAAAGTAATTATAATTTAATCAACAAAGAAATTAAAAATTTAAAAACCAAAGAGAAATTGTATACGAATCAATCGATCAAACAACACATTCAACAGATTGCATATAGAGAGTAAAAAAGAGATAGAACATTGTAATTTACCTTTGAGTAATATAAGCTAAACAATTTGTCAAGCACTTGGTGTGCAATCCAAGTTTCAGAATTTTCCTTTGTGTTGTGTTAATATGAAAAAACACTTATAATCATAAGTGATTATAAGCTACTCAACACACAAATCAAAACAAAATTAGTCTAAGAAAATTCCTATGCGTCGATAGATTAATCAATATTATTTGACAAATTGAAGTATGAAAATTAAAGTCGATAAAGCAATAAAAGAAAAGAGATACAAGGATTTGTTTAGTTAGTTTCTCATTTTTGTCCTCACATGTGGTTACGTATGCGCCCAATTCATATGTGGAATTAAGATACTTTATTACATTACAAAAAGTATAATTACAAGAAAAGTTTTCAAGAGCAACCCTACAAACCATAACCATTTGATGTTGATTCAACCTCTTCTCTTCTTTTGATCTCCAACAAAATCAAGCACACAATAGCTGCCAATTAATTATCATGATTTTGATACTCCTTATCATTCTGTATCTCCACAGCTTTCGTGCACCATCAATTGCACCTATTGTAACACAAGAGTTCAATTAGATTCGTTCTTCTTGCGCTACTTCCTTTGCATTTTTTATCTCTAAAGGATCCTTTGCAATCTATATCTCCAAATAATTTTGTAAGAACAAGAAATTTTCTACATATGGCCTTAAGATTTTGATAATAACTTTATATGTTATCTTTAAGAACAATTGTATACTCGAATGGTTTGTTCTAGTGTGTAGTTGCTGCTATAATATTTTGACTCTGGTATCAAGGTGTGTGATGCCATCAGGTTCTGAATTTACACTACTGGATGAAAACATGTGGTTACATGTTACAGTTGAAGTCAAGATTCTAAATACGTCTTCTACAACGTGTCTTAGGAACGTTAGTACAAGAGGTTCTAATCGTGACTTTATGGTTAAGCTTTGGAGGCCTTTAAAGCTTTACTTCGGTGTGTTACAAGTTATGAAGATTATGAAGATGTGGTTCTATTGAACAAGTTCTAATGATTTGAAGACAAGCAAGTTGTTACAACCAAGTGCTGAAGACTCTGGAGATAAGGTTCTGATAGGACATGTTTTGAAGACTCCAAGACTTAGGTTCTAAGACTTAAAAGTGATTCTTCTACAACAAGCTTCAACATTCAAATTATCTAAAGCCTTTGAAGATAAGAAGAAGTTCAAAATGTTTAACATGTGATGGTATACAAAAGGTACATAAAAGTGTATGTGACCTCTACCCTCTATGGTGGCGTAAGGGCAATCCTTTAGTAATGTACTTTAAATCATTATCATTGTGAACATTAAGAATAAACAGCTAGATTACCATATATCTTTCTTTACTCAACGAATCTGTGTTTACAAGCTTATTATAAAAACATTATACAGATAAAAGGTAGAAAGCTATAATTGAACCGTCACAGGATATATAAACTACTATTTTATATTGTCTAACTCTTACACCTTATTCTATACATTAGACCAAATTGTTGGTGCAGGAAAATACTTTTTAATCCTTACAACATCTCTCCCTGAAGGCTACAAAAGAAGATCATTCAAAGCCAAGTGTCATCGTTTTCCATCAAGATTAAACATTATGGATACTGAAGATGTAATATTTACAATGCTACACATTCTGAAGACCACCATAAAAGAGAGAAACAGAAAGAAAGAAGATTTCAACAAGATGTTATTTAACTATCATCATATACATCTTGGATGAAACAAAAGAAGAAAGGGGTTATTTCTCATAACTTTCTCAAAGAAGAAGAAGATTCTACAAGATGCTAATCAACTATCATCACATACATCTTGGTAGATCTCAGAAGAAGCAAGGCGTTGTTGCTCGGAACTAGCTCAACAAGAAGATGAAGAAGAACACTACAAGATGCTACTCAACTTCTGATCATATACATCTTTCTAGAACATTGTAATGAATACAAGAGTTGTTGCTCGTATTGTGTTTCAGCTTGAATCTCTTCATGTAAATTATTTTAACACTAGAGTTGTTGCTCGAAAATGTGTTAAACAATATGTGCTTAAAACACTTGTGTAATATGTGATAACACACAAAGTCATAGCATATTCTACCCAATTTACATAGATAAAGCTTATGATTCTTCGTTTATTATGTTGCATTATGTCTCTATTTGTAGTATTTGTAGCATATTTCAAGTATTTAGTTTCTATAAAGCATACATGAGAAAAGTAAGAAATATATTGGATAAATGAAGAAGAAATGGCACTTTAGCAGCAAAAATGCAAACGATTCTATATCAGAAGCCATGCCGCCCGTCACATGCGCATGCCGCCTGTCACATGCGCATGCCGCCCGTCACAAATTCCAAAAGTGTGCCCCTTGGCGCACTTATTGTCTTTACTGGCACAGAATTGAAATGTGCCCCACGCCATAGCGCATGACACTCGTTACAAGTCATATATCTTCAGTTACGAAAATGTCTCCATGAACGCACGACTTCCTGATTCTTCTCCATGCATGAAGAATGAAGATCAAGGAAGTGTCCCTATTTCTGCTCAAGCATAATGAATCTATAAAAGGAGGACAGTTACCAAAACATGATACGCACGCACACCTGCTTCAAGTTTATTTTTTTGTGCATACTGAACATTGTTATATCTTATTTCAGTTTTATAGTTTTTGAATTACTTTCAGTTTCGTTTAGAATTCCGTAAGCAAAGAAAACCATTACCATTAAAGCAATATTTCTTCACATCGAAGGAATATTGCACCATTATTTTACTTCTAGCTTCCAGAATTTCGTTTAGGCTTATTTATATTTCTTCAAGTTATTTTGTTCCGTAGCTAATCCTGCGGGCTTGTAGAGGATAGCATACTGCACTACATTTTTAAGTGTTTTATTCCAGGTTTCAATTTTAAATATAGTTTATTTATTTTTACCATGCCTATGATATTGAATATATGTTTTATTTTAATTTATCACGCAATAAAATTATGTTTGGGTAATTTTCCCGATACTGGTATGTGAAGTACTGAACCGAAGGGGTTCGATAATTAATTGGCATAAATATTTTACAAAAAGACTTTTCTAATTTTGATTTCCAATTTCGATATTAAATTGTTTCGTTAGGAGAGTAAAAGACAGACTAAGGATAAAATAAACAGAGCGAGAGTTTGAGATTTTAACCGGATAGTGGTGATTGAACATTAATTTTAAATACAACGATAACGCTTTAAAATTAATTGGACTCTATTTGTTTTCAAAAAAAATATTTTAAATTTTAAATGACACATCGAGAGAGCTCATTTGAGTTTAATAATATGTCCTGAATCGATAGAACGAAAGTGTGAGATAAGGGTTTTTAAATTAATAGTTTCCACTGAAATAGTGTTTTAATACTCAAAACTATGCTAACGACTTATTGAATCCCTGAATTCAACAAATTACATACCGGTGTTCCATTATCAATTATTAGATTTTAATTCTCGTTTAAACCCGAACATCCTAATTTTATAATTAGCCTTATCTTTA